GTTCGAAACACGCCCCATAATCACAGCTCTATGGAGCAGTATCAGACTCATATTCTGACTAGAATTGAGTAGGACTACGTCAGGCTATATAAGAGGGGTCTGCTGCCAACACTCTGCCTGATGCCCGAGTCTTAAACCTAATGGAAGTGGTAAGGCCTTTGAACTTTGGTCGCTCCTTGTATTTGTCTGTGTAAAGAACCTCACTCTGTGGGTTTTTTTTTTCTCCCAAGGAAACACTGACTACTGACACCTGCTAGACCTCTAAAATCCCAACAAGCAGCCTATTAGACAACGGACACTGATTTGATGACCCTAATACAATAATAGCATTTAAGTCATCCTGTGTTATATTGTATTATTTCATATCTTCATTTGAACTGAAAATATCTTTGACATATTTAGATGAAGTGAATAAATACTGTGAACATTAATTATAACAGCAATATTTAGGTAAACATGTAAAATAGGATGCTTGTGGACTAGGAGTTTTTTTATTGAAAAATTAACTAACGAATCTGGCCTTCAGAGGATGCAGCCACTGAATTCAAACTCAGCAAGAGTTTGGTGTATGAGGTCAACGCATCCACTGACGTGCATCGATGTTGCTAGATCCATCATTAGCTTTCAGATTCGGACCCAGCTCACAACTACTGGACTCCAAGAAATCCTCTGCAGATCTTCCCTGCAATCTCTGCTATCAGGACTCAGGCTGGCAGCTCCATTCCTCCCTGGACCAATTAATCTGGTCCAACCCCGTCTGCCCTTCAGCAAATCTGGTTGTTTTTCCACTCAATTTTATGATTCATCTGTAACTAGAAATCCCACCGTCACCACCACAACCACAACCGAGTAAACCCTTCTGGAACCATCACTTCAGATCCTAATAGCAAAACACTAATCCTCTTTTATTCTTTCTGAGGACCGTAAAAACGCCCCCTTCCTTCAACCAAACCAACAAGAACAAAAAAATAATAATTTTGACCACTAATCCCTGAAAAAATATTAAATTCTAAAGTAAAGCAAAATCTGGGACTGAAACTAAAAGTGGAACTGAAACATAGCAGGCCAACCTACACACAGAAGATATCAATTAGATGAGCACCTTCAGTAGCCAGGTATAAGGAG